GGGTGTCCAAACCCTTTATAACCCACATGCCCATAATCTTCTTTTCTAATGTGGAATCCTAATACTCCACCACGCTTCTGCAGTCAACGTCCATGTCGGCCTCTTTACTCGTGCCGACCTCTAAGCGGATCAAGAAATTAAAGGAGAGAGTGCGTGGATGAATGAATGAATGAATGAGTGAGATAGGCAGAATAGTAACTAGACGACTGTCGTCACAATGCTGATGATGATGACAGTGAGACCGCAAAGATTCCAACTTATTTTAAAGAACAAAAAAGAGGCTTTCTTAAAAGTAGAAAGAGAGATATTATTATGCAAATTGAGCAGCCAGCTCTCCACCGGCCACTTATTGATCGAAGAAGACGTATAAGAGAAACTTTTTGCCTTAAAAGAGATAGCTTAGATGTTCATATACTTTGCATTTAGGAAGAAAACATCTGTTTCAAACACTTGCTCAGATTCTTATGCTTCTTCTCCTTCTGGGTTAATGAAATTATCATCACATTCTTCATAATGTAATCTTTTGTGTTCACAGTTGTCGATAATTCTGCAGCTGGATGCCCACTTGAAGTTTGAAAGAGGCTAGTAGCGCCTAGCTGGCCTCATGCAAACACATTAATTACGCACGTTTGTGGCATGCAATTAACTTACTAATTCAACAATGGTCAATGGTTATTATATGTTTTGCTCATTCAGGATTTTTGACTCTACTTTTGTATTCATGTTGTTCATTTTGTAACACTTTTTGTTCTTCGCATTTCGATTTACAGGCAATGAAGGCTGTATCTAATGATTATGGGAAGATTTTGTAGCTGTTATGAGAGGATGTGTATCTTTTACATTATATCAATGTTTGATTCTAAATATTTTAATATGATTGGTTTTTTTTTCTTTTCTCGAGGAAAGCTATCATATAGCAATCCACCGATGCAATCCTTTAGGTACTACCTTTGCCCCTAGTGAAAAATTGAACTTGAGATTATGAGTTGAAACCATTTGCAACCCCTTTGGTTCATCCTAGCGTTGGGTTGCCCATGGGTGGGTGATAGGCTTGTCTTCCAAGAGGATAATGACCGAAAATTCTTGTATGCAATGAATTAAGTGGGAAAAAGAAAAGGAAATTGCCATTATCCTTATTATATGACTTATTAGGGAAAGAAAAAATAAAACATACAGAGATCATAAAAGATCACACTCTTGGTTTAATTTCATACATATCAGTCTTTGACTGAAGTAAAAAGCTTTGCTTCAATCTCGTCACCATCACAATACTTATCTTGTACAAAGAATTTGAGTCTAAAAACATTCGCAACATTTCTAAATATACAACATTCAAAACAACCACGTAATAACCATAATTTATTCTATGATTAGTGACTGGACAGTAAAATTAGTAAGCATATTCTGCTTCATCCACATTGAGCAATAGAGCATGCTAGCACGACAAGTAAAGATAATTGAAACTCGAGTGTGCTATTCATATCCTTCCTTGTTTAGCAAATGTAAGAGTCATATAAGTACTTCTAATTTTGCCCTAGTACTGGTGAATTTTCTAACAAGGGATAAAGTCACATCACATTTGATTGCTTTTCACTGTTCATAAAGCCTAACCAAAAAGTGTCATTTTAATTATAGATGAACCTTGGACGTTACCAACTTGGGCCTGTTATAATTTTGGGTCTTTTGGGTTTTGACAAACCCATATTTTGAGTCTGGATTGTTTGTGGGATCTCCAAGCTATTCAATTGAAACTCTATATTTAGCTAGACTTTGGGCCTCATTTGATTTTCCGCCTGGTATGGGGAAAGCCCATTTACAGTTCACTACCCACTAGCAAAGCTCTTCAAACTTTTTACTTCGGTTTTTTAGATTTGGGTATTGTGATGATTGATTGATTTTATCATTGTAACACATGAGAGTAGGCTTTGTGTAGACAGTATGGTGAAATTCTTGATTTGGGTTACTGTTAATAGTTGGATGAGTCTAGTTGGCTTGGCTGATCCAAAAAAATTTAATCTCCCACGTCTAAAGGCTATGTATGGTGAAGGAAATTGCATACCGTTATGCCATAAAATTCCTGATGCGTGGATTCACATCACATGTCCTTACCATTATAGATAAACTTGAGATTGCGTTTGGTTCAGAGAATGTTGGATTACTCGAATGTTAGATTACCTTAAAGATTACTGGAATCTTTAAGAAAATGTTTTTAATTTGTTGGAATAAATTGGTAGGTATGTTTTATTAATATGTTTGGTTAGGACATCTCCAACCCAGCGCTATTTTGGGTTGGAGATGACCAAAATAGCGTGAATTTCAACTCTAACCCAGCGCCATTTTCTACACCAATTTGGTGCCTCGCTACAGTGCCATGCCAAATTTGGTGTGGCACTGTTCATGCACACCAATTTGGCGTGGCACTGTTTAAACAGTAATTTTTTTTTTTTTTTATTATTTGTATTTAAGTTAATTTGTTGAAGTTGTCATAGATGAAAATGTCCGATTTCAAAATTTTATTGCTCGACACAGACTAATCAAGGATATAGAGACTCACCATGCTCTTTGAAATGCATTAATTGATCATTTATGGGAAGAATTTACTAATTCGGAAAATTAAATTACTATCAATATAGAATTTTACTTTTGTGTTGTTGTTTTTTTTTTTTTTTGGTATCATTTTATATTAGATGTAATGTTTTTTTATATTAAATGTAATGTTTATTTGATTAAATAAATACTTACTTTTATTAAATTAGTATAATTTTTAAAGTAATTATTATTTAATAAAAATATCATTGTCAATATTTAATTAATATATACAAAAATAATGAGTGAAATAGATTAATTATTGATTGTTACAATAAAAGAAAAAGAAAGAGAGTATTCTAAGAAATATTCTTTTTGGTGTAATATTTGGTGCAGTGAGTTGGAGATGCAATAGTGTTTCACACCAAAAATCATATCAATTTAGTGTGAAACTTGCACCAATTTGGTACAATGGGTTGGAGATGGTCTTAGGAGGAATAAATTGGTGAGTATGTTATTTAAATTACTGAATTGTTTTCTAATTAAATATTATTATTATATTATTATTTAGATTATTATTTGGATTGTTTATAACCGCCCTACATTTAAAAACTTAGCAAAAATAACCCCATAATAAAAGTTTGGAAAATCAACAATGCACCCCCACCAACACAGCTACTGCCAGCCACTAGCAGCCGACAACCTAACGGCGCACAAAAGGTAGGAAATAACCTCTGTGTGCCGTATGGCCATTTCCGGCTAGAGATCTAGTTGGAAATGGCCATATCGACGCATGACGGCCATTTCCGGCCTTCCATGTCTTGTTCCGACGACAACGGCGGCATGTGGGTGGGCTGCAATTTGTTTTGAATTCAATGGTAATTTTGTCCAAAAAGTTAATTAATTGGGGTGAAATAGTAAAAGCCATATTCATGTAAATTAATTTAAAAATAAGAGTATTATTGTCCTAAAATTTTATTAATAAGGGATAAAATTGTAACAAAAAAAAACTGCCTAGGTAATGTTACAATACCTAAGAAAATGGAGGTAATCAGATTATCTCTAATATTACCAACAGTAACTACTATTAGTATTTGAAGATTACCAGAATTTTATATTATTTAACAACCATACGTGATAATCAAGTAATATAAGATGACATAACCCTAATAATCCTACATAACCCCCAACCAAACGCCCCTAATGTTATGCTATCACCTAGTTTGCTCTCATAAAAGTCAAGCTGTCATCAACAAAGAGTCACTTGTGTCATGGGTTGGGAGTTTCACACCCAAAAAGCTAACTTACTAGGTGGAGGGACTCAACCTATTTATAAACCCAAGACTTCCCCAATACGCTTTCGATGTGGGATTCGTTACATTCTTTCTCACCCAATCATGTAACGCCCTCGTCATAGATGGCCCCCCCTTGCCTACCCATCCATCTCATTCTCATATAGACCCACAATGACACGTGAACGCCTCTACGTGGGTGTTTGGCGAGACATCGAAAGACGAATCGAGTTTGCTCTGATACCACTTATCACAGGTTAGGGGTTTTACACTAAAAAGGCTAACCTATTAGGTGGAGAGACTCAACCCATTTATAAGTCTAACACTTTCCCAATATGCTTTTTGATATGGGATTTATTACTCTTAGCACAACCTCATGAAGTCATCAGAATTTGAGGAGGAAACAATTGATACGCGTTTCAATTTCTTCAAATCAGCAAGCAGATAATCGTTTCATTAAAAAAGCAGCAATATTTAAAGAGCATTCTTCTGAAAATGATTAACATCATCGAATTATTGGCCCCTTTTTTAACTCAATAACTCCATCAACAGACATAAGGTCTACAAGTTGGATATTTGATGGCCTGAGATGGATTTGGGTTGAAGTAACTGTTTCATGTTTTGGCCTATTGATGATGATTGGGTTGTGGTAATCTCCCAGGGCAAGCTATTGCTTTCAAATCAAGCAGTAAAGGTTGTGGAGGAATGCCTTGAAGTAACATGCTAATGAAATTGAATATTTTTCCCTCGTTCTCTTCAAACATTCTAAAAACATCAAATTTGATGTTTTATATTTTGAGAGATCATTTAATTTTAAAAGTGTAAAATATCATCATACAAGTGATAACTTTAAAAAAATATTCTTCACCTTTTTTTTTTTTTTTCTTAATCTTTTTTTTGAAATTTGGTGGAAAGAGATTGAAATCTTAAATTAAAGTAAAAACAAAAGTTGGAAGAGATTGAAATCCAAAACTAAAGTAAAAAAAAAAGTAGGACGTGTAAACTTTGTTATTAATAAACAAGTTAGATAATGATATATCATTAGAAGTTGTTTTATTGTTATAATGTATATATGTGATTGATTTTTCTCTCTCGTTTGAATTAACTTTCGGATAAATGAACACAAGCGATAACAAAAATAAAATCATTAAATTTATATATAGGAAGATTTCTCTATTACATTTATTTACCCTTCATCACTGTTAAAAGATCAATCAAAAGAAGTCCCACATGATCTGAACTGAATATCAAGGCTCCAATTTTTATCATCATCAGTGATGAATGATTGTGATTTTTCACTAGAAAATATCGAGAATCTCGAGGATCGAACGGTTGCAGAGGGGACAAGAGCCTCGATTTAGCCACAACTCCCTCGAACACACCCTACAAAAAGTATGTCCACATGGGATAAACGCTGCACCTTTCTTTCTTCCCATGCACACGCAGCACATCGTATCACTACTCCCCACCTCCCCTCCTCCCGCTTTCCCCTCCCCATCACACCCGTTCGATTCCGCCAGCAGTCGCATCAACGACACCCTCAACGGCGTCCCCGGTGCTGTCCCCGTTCTAGAACCCGCATTCCCATTCTCATTATTACTGGGACCCATCGCGTTGTTACTTCCCTCCGCCGCCCGGTAATGTCTCTCCGCCGCCAAAGCGGCCGCTAGATTCATGCCACTGCCAATTAAAGACCGGTCCAGACAATCCCGATCCGGCGTACTTTCGGATCGAACCTGACCGGGGTCTATTATTTGTACTTGATTTGTAGCTTCTTCATCTTCTTGTTGGTGTTCGTGGTGTTGTTCTTCGTCTTCACTGTCGCTTAAGTTAATCGTGTTTGGTCTGAAACTCCAGGTTGTCCCGCAGCAGCCCATGCTTTTTAATCCTAGCCGTTCCTTTAGACTTCTTCTCCTCGTCGGCGTTCTGATTCGATCAACACCGTTCATTTGTTCTCTCAGCAAAGCCAGGATCGTTCTCGTCTCTCTTTGAAACGGCTCCTGCAATATCACACTCAGTTGATTCATTTTCACGCACACCCAAGACTCAAAACACACAACTCAGAAAACTAAAAGAAGAAACACAAGACATAATAAAAACAAAGGGTTAAGTTTATAAGTGTGTGTCCATGGAGGTCTCGTGAGTCTCTTAAATGAATTAATAAAGACTGAAATTAAAACCCCACCTCTTGATTAATTCATGGAAACAAAAATGACAAAACGATGGAGCAACGAATGGAATCCAAAGAAGAAGGCAAAGAGTGCGCTTAGTTGTAAAGATTATGATAATAAATAGTGAGATGATAATAAGCTAATGGCCAGCTCCTTCATTGAAAAAAAAAAAAAAAAAAAAAAAGGTTTAGAGAAGAAGCAAACCAGGACAAAATAGAAGAGGAAGTGTGAGTGCTTTACAGGGTTTCTTCTTTCTCGTTCATGCTTTTTCTTGGAGTTGTAGTAGTAACAGAAGCAACGTAGTCTGTCAACAAAATTTGTTTCCTTCTTTATAAATGACAATATTATACACCAAGTTTGGAAATATTTTATTAGCGGGAATGCATTTTTGTATTATGTAGATGATGGTCGCCGGCCTAAAGAGAAGTCAAAAGCCATTGAAGCCGGCGCAGCAACCGAGGTCGTGCCAAGTGGAATCAAATGTTGGTGGAGTCTCCATACATCTCAATATCTCATAAAATCACCTTATTCTATATAACTTCTTATTATTTCTTTCCAATAAATATTTCAGCTTGAAGATACATGCACAAAAGCATTAAAAAATTATATTTATAATATATATTTCCTGTAAACCCTACGTAAACTTTCTCATAGTATATTAGAATTAGAGTCCTTTAAAATTATCAGAAACCTTTTTTTAATTCCATGAATGAAGAATGATTGAACAAGAGAATCATGATCAGAATCATCATTTGGATGATTTTACTCAGTTTTTAATTCGGGATTGAAGTCAAGTTTATGCAGCTCTTCCGATTACAATATTTTAGTTTATGGTTTGGATGAATGATTGGTCTACGAAGAACTCCAATCAATTATGGTGCCTTCGATGTGGACGCCACCCCATTGAATTGATAAGCCTACCACACAAAAGCTCACAATCACGCTTTGTTTTTTTTTTTAAAGGTTTTTCGATACTGTGGATGATATCAGCTTTGGAGTTTGGTAGCCTCAAGTTTGTATTGTTTAATCAGTTGTTTACAATCTTATGGGCGTCAGCTATGTCTTTGATTTCTTCTTCTTTGTTGGTATCTCTGACTCTGAGGACCATTGTTTTTGTCCACAAAAATACTTTGAAGACCCAGAAAGACAAGTTAATTTGCGTTTTGGACTGATTATGGACGATGGTGAAAGATGTAATTGTTCCACATAGTTAAAACAATAACAATCCATTTTTGTATTTGGACATTCCAACCACTTTGTTTCTTCGAAGTATGCTTTTTTTTTTTTTTTTTGGTAATTAAAGTGTTCGGACCAGTTTGTAAAACTAATTCCCAAGTTTATTGAACATTGTACAAGTTTTGAAACTAACTTTTAAGTCTATTGAACATCATACAATTGGAGGTGTTCGGGATAATTGGGGTGTTTGAACCAACTAATTTCAAGTTTATTGAACACTATACAAGTTCAAAAACTTATTTTCAAGTCTATTAAACATCATACAAATTTAATGGATCAAATAAATTATAAATGTGATAAATAATCATTTTGTATGACTTGAATATAAGACCTTTGGATAACCTAGAATCTTCTCATCCCGTCAAAATCCACAAGCCAAGTGATTAAATATATGTTACTTGATCCTGGAATTTCTCTAATGGCTTAATACTTTGTTTGTCATAGAGCCATAGAGGTATGGGGCTAAAAGTGGGCCATTTGGAATACACAATCTCAAAGCTTAGAAAAGCCCGATCCTTCATCAAAATCTGACAAATCGGTTTTATTTATCCTCTGAAAACGACTTGTCATCAACTCTAGAAGTGTCACTATGACATGTCATATAAAAACAAGAGATCTCATCAACTCTAGAAGCATCACTTTGACATGTCATACCTAAACAAAAGACCTTCGAGTCGTTTTCTACTTTAATTTAACACCAACCAAATGCTCTCTCAAAAGCTCTAACTAAACTACTTGGCTTGAGGTCGGATAATAAAATTATGGGTTATTCAATAGTCTTGTGTTTGAGTTAAGGGTGTCAGCTGAGATAAGCCACTCACGAGCAACTCGAGTTTGGCTCGGCTTGGCTATAGTGTCGAGGCGGGTTCGAGCTACTAGGTTTTGGCTTGACTCGAGCTCAATTGGAAAAGTGAAAAAAAATGAAGAATTTGAGAGTTTTTTTTTTTTTTTTTTTTGAGCTCGAACTCAATCTCACTCGAACTCGAATTTTCAAGCTCAAGCTTGACATTGTAACAAATGAACTGAGCTTAATTAACCCAAAACTTGACTCGATTTGTTTATACCCTTATTTTGAGTCACACAAAGTAATTATTTATCATATTTGTAATTTATCTGGTCCATAAATTAAGGTATAGATAAACCAGTTCAAACACTCCGATTAATGACCAAATTATATGAACCAAATGATATACAATGTTCGGTAATTAATTTAAAGACAAAATCAGTAATGGTAAGAGTAAGAGCATGCTACAAGACTAGCGAGATATTTTGTTGCCCAAACAGAACGAAGATTCTAGACTTCGGTTCTCACACAGAAATAACATGTTGTATTGTTACATAACCGATTCCAAATAAAATACGATATTTCCTTACCTCACATCCCTTTGCTTGGCTCATTCCACTAATTAAACATCCACGTGTCAAAAACCCAATTCATTTGGATTTTGGACTCCTTCCCACCAAACCCAATATTGCCCTCATAATTTCATCTAACAACACTATTTAGTCCAAGGACAAACTCGTCTCTCCACGGTTTCATTTCAGACGGCCTTGGAATATTACACAATTTACAAAGCTCATTAACCTTCTTCTTGTCTCTGTTGTTCATCTGTTCAGACTTCAAAAGACTTTTCTCTTTGTAATCGAGACACTGAAGAGCCAATGGCTTCACTCTCTCATCTCTCTCAATTTCCATGCAAGACTCTTTCTTTAATCCCATCTCATCACCAGCTCACTGCTGTAAAGCCTTCGATTCTTCCTCTGAACTCAGCCAGGATTTCGCAAAGAATTACTAAGAAGTCTTTGAATTCAAGGCCCGTCTTTGTGACTCGGGCCGTGGACGATGACGAGTGGGGTCCCGATAGGGAAGAAGAAGGTGGCGCCGTGGCCGTGGTAGAGGAGGAGAAGCCCAAAGAAGTGACGGAGATTGATAACTTGAAGAAGGCGTTAGTAGATTCGTTCTATGGGACCGATCGTGGGTTGACGGCGACTAGCGAAACTAGAGCGGAAATTGTTGAGCTTATTACACAGCTTGAAGCTAAAAATCCGACTCCCGCACCGACTGAGGCGTTAGCTTTGCTTAACGGCAAATGGATTCTTGCGTAAGTGTTGTTTCGTGGGAAAATTATGGTGAAGGGATTGAATTTGGGAGTTTTTAAAATTGGGTATTTTTGTGGTTTGTTAGTACTTGAGCTAACTTGAAACTTTGGTTAATTTAGGATGATATAATCACTCAGCTTATTTTAGTTGAATTCTATTGCTTTAGAAATGAAAATAGGAAGTTATTTTGAATGAAATTTTTATCTTTTTCGATAATTTGTTTGGTTATTGCTCATAGGCATATATTTATCGCTAGAAAATTAGTGATTTTGTTAACAATATAGTTGGAGGGTTAGAGATTCTCTCAACAACTTGGAGTTGTTAAATTGAGATAAGAACTTTGGATATTCCACTGGTGATCTTATAGTCTATCATGAATATGCTTTTATATAATCAATTCCACTCTGATAATATATATTAGGTGGCTGCAAAACTCTCCAAGAAATTGTTTTAAGTCTGATGGCAAAAATTGGTGTTTAAATTTGTGCCTAGCAAAAGAGGTTGTAGATTTTCTTCAGTAGGATCAGGGATGCAGCTGTAGCACCAATAGATGGATTTACGCTTTTCATACTGTAGTCTTGTTGATACTGAGTTTAAATTTATGTGTGGCAATGCAGGTATACATCCTTTTCCGGTTTGTTCCCCTTATTGTCAAGGGGTTCATTGCAATTGGCGAGAGTGGAGGAGATATCTCAGACAATTGACTCAGAGAGCTTCACTGTCCAGAACTCTATCCGGTTTTCTGGACCATTGGCTACAACATCCTTTAGTACCAATGCCAAATTTGAAGTCCGAAGTCCCAAGCGTGTGCAGGTTTGTACATTAATTGCATCTTCTTTCAAGTTGTGCCTATTAGTTCAGGAGTATAACCAATGAAATGATGGATTACTTCCTCATAAATGGTTTAACTGGCAAGATCGAAACACTAATAATGTGAAAGAGAAAGCCCTCACCTTTTTGCATCTCTGAATGTAATTGAGAGTTGTAAGTTTTGATTCAGCTCTAATTGGCTATTTCATTTCCTTCTGTTTAGATCAAGTTTGAAGAAGGCATCATTGGGACTCCTCAGATAACAGACTCAATAGTTTTACCAGACAACGTGGAATTTCTGGGACAAAAGATAGATCTGGCCCCCTTAAAAGGCTTATTCACTTCAGTCCAAGACACAGCTTCATCCGTTGCAAAGACCATTTCTAGCCAACCACCATTCAAATTCCCAATCTCAAATAGCAACGCACAATCATGGTTACTAACGACATACCTCGATGAAGAGCTCCGTATTTCAAGGGGAGACGCTGGCAGTGTGTTTGTGCTCATCAAGGAAGGAAGCTCTCTATTGACGCCATGAACCCACCTGTAAAATTCCCTTCTATTATTATAATTTTCTGGCCCCCATAGATATATATACGCTCCTTGTCAAGGAGAGTTGGATTTGTGAAATAATACATGGGTGTGAACAACTCAGAAACAGAAACATGATTTTATAATTTAGTACTGTCAGATATTAAACAGTTGACTCTCATGTAAATCCTAAACTAGTATGGCTCTATCTGGATTCGTTCCAGTAGATTATATTACATTTCAAGTTTTCAACTCTGTAACACACTCTTGATAATTTGAAGTCTGGAAATCTTATTTGGAAGTACAGGAAACTTGAAATGTACCACAAATCTTATGAACTGAACGATGTGCACACAGGAAAATCCTATGATTACATGGCCGTTGCACCAACCTTTCTTTTTCTGTATTTCCACAGTGTAAAACCCCCTTATCCGCGTAACGAGACAGAATGTAATCAGCACTAAACTTATTCCACGCCACCAAAAGGAGAATTAACTCTGCCTACATTATGTTCTCTGGATGGTGAACTTTATCCTTAATTAAGGATGATCTGGAGAAAGGCCTCGGCAGGAGGAGTTCCTCCCAACAAACAAGCTCCTCACTGATGTAAAGCCATGCCTAATTTCTTGATACCAAATTCATGATTTCCTGTAAAATGTTCATGTGCTAATTGTTGCTCCTTCTGCCTGGCATATTGGCATTTGATAGAATGCCTGTCCCTTGGAGGCTTGTGGAAAATAAAATGAACCATATGAAAGCATTGATGCTAAGAAATTAGCTAGATGGACTCTTCATGGAGACCAGGTGGACACTTCGGTAAGACAGGCAGTGAAAACATCTCAGTCTCTGATTTTGCCGAGGATGATGCAAAAGAAGGTCCACCAGAAATTATCCCAGAATCCCACATTAGTTCACCTTCTGAAATTCCTATAATTGCTGCTGCAAGAAATGGTATCATAGAAATTGTAAAGGCCATCGTGAAGGTGTACCCACAAGCCATTGAGCAAGTAAATGAGCAACTTGAGAACATATTTCATATTGCAGCGAGATATCGAAGGGAAGAAATCTTGGACTTCTTCAACATTCTTATAATCCGGTTTCAAGGCTAAGGAGGTAATAAATCAATAGAGATTGGTGTTGGAAACTAGACGTGTGTATTATGAATTCGGAGAGAGAACATAAGGTATTTACGAATACTATGGTGTAAAATCCTGCATCAATGAGGTAAAATAGTAATTTTTCACCACCCAAGGTTTGGCCAAACAGTATTTCCACTCTTGGTTTCATAAATTCGAGATTCCCACCCTTATATTGATACTGTTAGTTTTCTTTTAAAATAACCCCCACATCTCAAACTTCTCTCAAATAACCCCCACATCTTAATGGTAACGCTGGTGGCGGCCGACGGTGGGGTGAAATGGCTATAAAAAAAACTACAATCAATCAAAAAGCCAAAAACACTTCATAACCAATCATTCTCCTTCCAAAACAAACTCTATATTAACCTCCAATCAACCCAAAAACAACAATTTTGCAAAATCCTAAGGCAGGAGGCGAATTATGATCAATGGGCGATCGAGGTCGGGGGTGTTGGGGGGTTTTGGAGGGGGGATGCCTATGGTGCTATGGGTGGTGCTAGGAGTGATTTCTGGCACAAAGATCAGTCAGAATCTGGCTAGAAAGATGCAATGGTCATTGACGATTTGCGAGCAATTGTGAAAAGCGATGTTGGGGGTTTTGGTTGGGAGAAGCTGGTGATGCTATTGGTGGTGTCGGGGGCGGTTTTTGGTTCCAAGATCATTAGGAATTTGGATTGAACGCCCGATCAAAACTAAGAGTAGCGATCGTTGATTGGGGGTTCAATGAGGCAGAGAGGTTAGGGGTTTTGATGTGGGGGTTGAGAGGATTGTTATGGTGGTTTTGGGGGGATCGATTGCGTCGAAAATAGGCCGGATTGGCCTGGAATTGCTAGTTGTGCAGTGGGGTGAATTTGAGATATGAAGGATTACTTTAAAATTTTCATCTTTGAAATGACCATTTTACCCTTTTAACCGTTGCAGTAAACAATTTTCTGTTAACTTAAGAATGAGAATCTGGAATTTATAAAACCAGGGGTGGGAACTTATCATTTCGCCAAACTGTGGGTGGGAACATGTCGTTTACTCTTTCAAATATAACTACTTAGTGGTGCGGCCGTTCACCATCACACAAAAATTGATGTATTGTTAATAGAGGTTTACTGTGAAAATTAACAAAATCTTCTATCCTATAAGAAGTTCGTAGATACTTCTTTGCATATGATGTTTGCAGAGTTCAGCCATCTTAAGTTCAAAAGCTAATCAAGAGTCAAGAATGGTGTTCTATAAGTAGTTATCGAAAATCATCCTTCAAGGTTTATTATAATTTAGTTACAGTCATTGACTTTTCTAAATTATTAGTTTAGTTTTATGTCAATAAGATCAGGCAGTTTCTTTGGAGTAGACTTACAGCCCCAGGACCACGGTTCATCAGTTTATGCCTTTCCATGATATAAATTATTAGTATAAAGACATTTTCCCAGTGGTTCTTGACTTAAGCAAAATGAATGTCATGATTTTCTCCCAATGGTTCTTCCTAGAAAATACCTCTGAACTAGATGGGAAGAGACTCCAGGAGCATATATGGTTTGCTTATATAACCAGCTTAAGGTTGTGTAGAGGAAGACACAATTTCAGCTGAAAAACAGAGTTTATCGTGGAAGAAATGGAAATGGTTCATATCTTCAGCGTTTCAAGAACTATTAAACAACTTTTTCTTTGTTCTCTCATAGCCGCTTTTCATGATCTTGCTCGTGCCGATCCTCCCTACAGTCTTTGTCCACAAGATACGAATTATGCAGCTGATAGTCCATTCGAACATAACCTCGATAATCTTTTCAGGTCCTTTCCCTCAAATACTTCTATTCCCAAGTTTTTCAATACCTCAGTTGGAAATTCCTCGGACACAGTTTATGGTCTGTACATGTGCCTGAACTATATTCAAGCTGATGATTGCAAAACCTGCATAGAAATTGCATCACAAGATGGTGAGAGGCTTTGTCCAAACAAAACCGAAGCAGTTGTTTGGGAAGAAGTATGTCAATTGCGCTACTCCAATGAAAATTTCTTTGGCCGACTGGATGTCAGAGGAAACATCCCCAAATTTAACGTAAAAAATGTATCGGAACCAGAAAGATATAAATCTGTCGTGAAGAAAATTCTAAGTAATCTCACCAAGGCGGCAGCTTTTGATCCTTCAACTGAGATGTATGCTACCGGAAATGTATCCTTTACCGATACAGATACGTTATATGCTTTAGTTCAGTGCACTAGGGATTTATCAGCTCATGATTGTAATACGTGTCTCGAGACTGCAATTGCGGATATTTCATCTTGCTGCTATTTTTCTCGAGGAGCACGACTTCTCAGTCGTAGTTGCTATTTGAGGTATGAATTATATGCCTTCTATGAAGGTGACACTGAACCTGCTGACACTGATGAAAACAGAGCCACAGGGAAAGGTAATTACTGTTGACTGTAGTTTCCAATAAGAATTGCTTTTCAATACTTTTGTTTGATGAATTAAAAATCAAGATTCAGAATTTTATGCTTTCAAATGCAGGCAACCAAAGGAAGATATGGATGATTATAATTCTATCAACTGTCTTGGTATGTCTAATATTGCTGGTAGCCTTGGCTTGCGCAGTCTACTGTATTAGAACAAGAAAAGGAAGTCGGAAAAGTAAAGATGCTTATAGGAATGTTATTTTTTTTCTCCTTTGTTTTATTTTCTTTTTAGCATCACCTTCTTCTATTAAGTTTAATTTTTTGTCACTGTGCTTCAGGGGAGGCTCAAGTTAATATTCAAGTTCAATCCGGCAATAGTCGTGATCAGAACAGAACAGATTTCCGTGACCAGCATATTGAGGGGACAGATGATCTAAAGGCTCAGGAATTTTATATTGATCTAAAAACTATACATGTTGCAACTGATAGTTTCTCTGATTCTAATATGCTCGGACAAGGCGGGTTTGGTCCTGTTTACAAGGTAAAAGAATATAATATATCTAATGATTCATTAACTGATTGTTCCATTAACCAGAAGGAAGTGGCTTTTTCAGGGTATATTAGGTGATGGACAGGAAGTAGCAGTAAAAAGGCTTTCCGCTTGTTCTGAGCAGGGTACCGAGGAATTCACAAATGAAGTCCTACTCATACTGAAACTACAGCACAAAAATCTCGTTAGGCTTCTTGGTTTTTGTGTAGATGGAGAGGAAAAGCTGCTTGTCTACGAGTTTATGCCAAACAGTAGCCTCGATGTAATCCTTTTTGGTAAGTTTTATGTCCATTTTCTTTTTTCTGATTTTTTTCAGCTTGGCTCCTCCAATTGACTTCATAGAAACTATATTTAATGGTTAGATCCAAGGAAACGTGCGCAACTCAGTTGGAGTGAACGTATTAATATTGTAAATGGAATTGCAAAGGGAATTCTTTATCTTCATGAAGATTCTCGACTTAGAGTCATTCATAGAGACCTAAAACCGAGTAACGTTTTGTTGGACTCTGAAATGAATCCAAAGATCTCAGACTTTGGAATGGCCAGGATTTTTGCAGGTGGTGAAGGAGAGGCTAATACAGCAAGAATAGTTGGAACATAGTAAGTATTAAACTTGTTTAATTTTTGGGTCAGAAATGGTTTGAATTTGACATGTAGAAACACATATTTTTTTTATTATTGTATATTAAAAGTTCATTAGGAAAGGCCATGGAGGGATTGACTGACAAAATCTTGTTATTTTGTTGGTGAAATAGTGGTTACATGCCTCCGGAGTACGCTATGGAGGGATTATACTCCATTAAGTCTGATGTTTATAGCTTTGGAGTTCTCTTGCTTGAAATCATCACCGGAAGGAGGAATGCCGGTGACCATAAATCTAAAAAAGCTCCTACCCTGCTAGCGCAGGTAAATTCTTTTACTCTGCAATTCATATCAATGTTCTACATGTGCTAACATTAATGTTAGCCGTATTAACCAAGTGATGATGCAGGCATGGCAACTGTGGAATGAGGGGAATGCATTGGAGTTAATGGACCCATTATTAGCTGATACAACGGATCATGATGAATTTCTAAGATACTTCCATATTGGTTTGTTGTGCGTTCAAGAGGATGCATTTGACAGGCCTACAATGTCTTCTGCCGTTGTAATGTTGAAAGGGGAAACCAAAACTCTTCGACAACCTGAAAGACCTGCCTTCTCACTGGGAAGATTTACTGATCATTATCAATTAGAAGATAACAATTGTTCGGCTAATTACTTAACAATTTCTGATGTTTTGCCTAGGTGATGGAGAAAGCCAATGATAATTTACCTATGCAGAATCTGTAATGCTTTTGGTTTCCAGGATACAATTTTCAATATTTGGAAGAAATCTGCAGGATACAATTACTTAAAAATTTCTGTAATGCTTTTCATCTAACCCGTGAGATATCTGCAGTCAGATTGCTTTAATTATTTTAGCTGTCTTATTTCGATAAGCAGAAATACTTACAAAAGTACAAAGTGACTTCTAAAATCAGCTAGTTCCAGAAAAGCATTGCATTGCCGGCCAAAAGCTGACTAATGAAAAAGAATAAAAAATAATGGAACAGACCAAAATACAGTAAGATAAGACCTGAAAGTTGCTACCTCAGTGTAGCTCGACAACAAAAATCAGTTCTTACTGGGTTAGACAAGAACAACGATGGTAGCATATAATTAATAATTTTAACAAACGTTACTTTCTGTCACCAGGGGCAGTGGTTGAACTTGAGTCATTGTGCCAGATATCTTTACAAATCCCATTCTGTCTCTGTGCCTGTGTGAAGGAATAAACTATAGAGTGATTTTTAACTAGACCCTTCCACAGTTGGGCTCAAATGAAACCAAATTAACCTCATGTTTTCAGAATCTACCAGAGCTGAGACCTGCTGCATGTTTTTCACTTAATTATATTTATGCAGTAGTATTATAGGGGAGGTCAATGTTTTTGCAGAAATTATTCATTTGTTCATCGTTCTGTAAGGAAGTTTCCACGAACATTATTGACACTCCAACTTCAGTAATTTCCGGCATCCTGCATTGCCAAGAAATTTAAGTCTTTTCCAGACCTTTTACTATTGAAACGTTATACTTTTCTAAGGAAATGAAAGTCAAATACGCCTCTCAGTCATTGGTAATAAATTATTATGACCAAATTTCATTAGAATATTTGCAGAAGATATTGTTTTGTAGATGTATGCGGAGAGGAGAAAAGAATAATGCTTACGTTAGGTGATAGAAATGCTGATTCAGTTGACTAATTTATAAAGAATTTGTGAATGTATAATCAATTCGTAATTATCATTCAATTATTCAGAGTATTAAATTGAATCTGACCAAGGATTGTGACAAATCATTGAATGGTTCTTATGTTTGGAATATTGGACTAAAGGGGCATGTAAACATCAATTTGTATTCATTTGTTCTCCCTTATAACAATGACAACAATGGAATCTGACTAAAATGGGGAAATTGTTGAATACTTGTTGAGGAAAGATCTTCAGAATTACGTAAAAGAAACTAGTTAAGAATGCTTATATGCTAATAAATTTTAGTTTTTTCAAATTACCACTTATTTTCAAATATAATACTCTAAAACTTTTTTATAAAATCCTAAAATTAAACCAGTTGCCTTGTGGCCGGGTGGAAAGACTTTAACCATCTGGGTGAATTACTCAGAAGTCTTGTGTTAGAGTTTCACAAAATGACCACTTATTACATTTGTGACTTACTTGACCGATTAGGTTTGTAGGGTATTTAATGGACTACAAGTGTTGCCGAACTTTGATCGCATATAGTTGAAATTAGTGATTGAAAAGTCCACTTACATCTATGATGACCATATTGATATCAAAATAAAAGGTTTACAAACAATCTATATATCTAACCACACAATTGTTTGAGCAATTGATGTATCATTTGTCTAGGAAAATGACGGAGAAAGTTTGTGGTGGCCAACAATCTTCGTCAAATCTCACCAAACTCCAGCACTTTTTTTTTTCTTTTTATTTAGGGTATGCAAGTTACATTTGAGTCTGCCTAATTCTGAGGGTCACAAAACACCTTATAAATCCAACAGACCAAAGTAATTGCATAAACGTAATAGTAGAGGTGAGCGGTTCTGGGTATCCTCCATTTTCTGGGGGAACTGGAACCGAACCGCACAGTGTAGGTTTCCAAAAAAAGAAACCGAAACCGGAACTGCACAGTACAAGTTCTTCAATTCAAGGAACCGGAACCTAAAATGCAGGTTCCGATTCCTTTCGGGGGTATCCTATAAAAAATCAAGTACCCCCTATTAGTTTAAAAAATGACAAAATTACCTTAAAAGTTTATAAATACACCCCTAACAAATATACTATTTGGGTTTAGGGTTTAATTATAATGTAATATTATAATTAATTAAATTGTTAATCATTTAATTAAGTATTGTAATATTGTTTATAATAGAATGTTATAATTAATTAAGTAATCATACCATAAATTTATAATGTAATGTTATAATTAATAAAATTCTAATCATTTAATTAAGTATTGTGTAAATTAGTAAATTAATTACTAATGTTTATAATATAATGTCATAATCAATTAAGTAATCATTTAATTATGTAATGTTATATTAATTATATGATCATACTATAATAGTATAATGTAATGTTATAATGAATTAAGTAATCATACTATAAATCTATAATTTAATATTATAATTAATTAAATTTCAAATCATTTAATTAATATACTAATGTTTATAATGGAATGTTATAATTGATTAAGTAATCATATTATAAATATATAAGGTAATGTTATAATTAATTAAATTTTTAATCGTTTAATTAAGTAATGTAATAATATAGTAAATTAGTAAATTACTAATGTTTATAATGTAATGTTATAAATTCATAACTAATTATGTAATTATGTAATCATTTAACTATGTAATGCTATAATTAAGTAAGTGATCATAATATATAATGTAATATAATAATATTATAATTTAATTGAGTAATTATTTAACTATAATGTAATGCTTAATTAATGTTTATAAGGTAATGTTATAATTAATTAAATTTCTTATCATTTAATTAAGTATTGTGCTAATGTTTATGTAGTAAATTAGTAATTACTAATGTTTAAAATATAATATCATAACTCATAATCAATTAAGTAATTATTTAATTATGTAATGTTATAATTAATTATATAATCATACTATAATGTAATGTTATAGTGAATTAACTATTAAGTAATCATACTATAAATTTTTAATGTAATATTATAATTAATTAAATTTTTAATCATTTAATTAAGTTTGTAATAATGTTTATAATAAAATGTTATAATTGATTAAGTAATTATACTATAAATCTATAACGTAATGCTATAATTAATTAAATTTCTAATTATAAGTCAATTAATTAACTATTTAATTATGTTATAACTTATAAGTCAATTAATTAAGTAGTAATCAATTAATGTAATGCTATAATTAATTATACTATAAATCAATTAATTAATGTTATAAAATTATAATTAATTAAGTAATCATTTAACTATAATGTAATGTTATAATTGATTAAGTATGATATTTAACTAGTAATTAAATTTATTAATGTTTATCAATTTATCATATATAATTAATTAATTACTAATTTATTATAGATATACTTAGAACTTGATAATTGAAGTAAATAACTAAATATATTATTGCTCAATCAAATATACTATTTTATTCAAAAATAATTCTTTTAATAACATTAAAAATGTAAAACACTCTTAATTGGATCATAATTCAAATTATTCACTTAATTAATCAAAACTTTAATATTAATGTATTATAATATATTAAAGCTTTTAATATGGTGTAATTTATATGTAATAAGTATAATTGTATTCGTATATTTATTTAATTAGGTTATTCTAAAAATTTAACTTTTTATATTTTAAATTTTTTTATATGTAAAATAATAGAAACCCTCTATTATTCACATTTCACAATATTTCATTGTAGTCCAGATTCCAAAACAGGTTACAAAACAAGTTCTAAAACAGGTTCCGAAACAGGTTCCAAAAATCGGTTCCAAACTGGGTATCCCCTACAGGTTCCAAATAGGATACCCTTTTTACAGGTTCCGGTTCCGGTTCCTCCACACACAAGAACCAGAACCAGAACCGCACAGTATCGGTTCCAAAAAATTGGAACCAGAACCTACCCGCACAGTACCGGTTCCTGGTAGGTTCCGGTTCCGGTTCCGGTTCTACCCGCTACCCGTGCTCACCCCTAGAAATACACATACCTAGATGAAATGTCAGGAGGAGGAGGAGGAGGAGGACGACGACCTGTCTTGGAGAAGATGTTAATGGCGGAGGAATGCATTAATGTTGCGGGAGGAAGAAGAAGGTACTGTTTGGGTTTGTTTGCAAGATTTTCGACTCTTTGGAGACTTATTATAATTTTTAAAAGATTACACAATTATTCATTAATCTCAATTAACCCCCTAATCATGTTTAATTAAGCTTAATAAAAAACAAGGCCATTTAGTTAAAATTTACAAACTCTATAGCCTTTTAATTAAATTTTAAGTTCAAATGGTCTTTTAATAAACTCCCCCTTGAAAACCGGGTATAAAAGTTCACTCGGTTTTCTCCCAAAAGCGGTTGGACTAGTGGATTGTTACAGTAAACCGGTCCAACCGCGGATCAAACTGGGTAGATTAATATTTTCAGTTTTCAAGCCTACTCGGCTCTGCTCAGTGGTCAGGTCTCGGTTGAACCGATTAAACTGGCCGAGCTGAGCCGAGTTTTAAAACATTGGTTTAGACAATGGTCAAAGACATTTTAACCAAAATAATAATTCAACTGTTTAATAACTGCAGTAGCTAATTAACCATAGTAACTAACTATCAGTATACAGTTGGGTAACAATAATCAATACTTAGCTCAACTAATCTGACTTCTAAGTTCTAACTTAATAACTGTCAATCTAAACTAAATGTTACAGCCTACTGAATAGCCTTTCATAAGCTTCCCATATTTGAGAAAAATCTGCAGTATACCAAATTTATATAATATATATAAAGTATTGAAAAGAATTGACATGATGAATATATACATAGAAATTTAAAATGTCTATCAATCAGGATTAGAAAAATCTTATAAAGGATAGAAATATCATTTGTTCTTCATTAATTATACTACATAATATAAAGATAAGGTGACAGGCTTTCCCTTAAAGAAATTTCAGTGTTTACTGGGACACGGCAACTATTAATGGTAGTATAACGGCTGCATGCACTAAATGGGATTTGTCCCTGTTGGCCATCACATCACTGTCCCATTGAGCCAGCTAAGAGTTATTTTTGTGGTAGAGAATTTTCCTAATCTTTTTAATTTATATATACACTATAACAAGAAGAAGCTGAGAAATGATCTACTGTGTATTAAATGCGGCCTGGAATGTTTGGTAGAACGACTTACACCTACCCAAAGTTTAGGAAGATATCCAAAAGGTTTCAAAAAGATAAATAGATACATGATGTTAGAGAAAAGACAAAAATATCCTTTAAGAAATATTAATATATTTTTTAATTATTTTTAGATCTCTTAAGTTTATTAATTCCATCAAATACCCCCAAGAAAAAATTTAAAAATTAACAAAAATACCTCTACCCACCTATACTTGCTAGATTCCGACGACCATCATCGGTGGTAGCCAGAATCTGTCATAACGGTCTACGTCACCATAAAAAATGGCCAGTAGTTCACCGATCTGATCTTTTTCGGTCAAATCTACCATGGATATGGCCAGAAAAGGCCAGATCTAGCCGTCGACGGCTGCAACACTCTATCTTTGGCCATCACTTTCTGGCCAGATTTGGCCTTCTCATGTCAGATCTGGCCTTTTCGGGCTAGATCTACTGTAGATCTGATCGGAAAAAATCAGATCGGTGAATTACTGGCCATTTACGGTGGTGGCCGTCAGAATCTGATAAGTATGGGTGAGTGGGGGTATTTTTGTTAATTTTTAAACTTTTTTCTAGGGGTATTTGATGGAATTAATAAATTTAAGGGACTAAAAATAATTAAAAAATAGACTAATATTTCTCAAAGGGCATTCTAGTCTTTTCCCTAATAGAAGGTATATGTTTGTCTGTTTGAAACCTTTTGGTACCAATCGGTGTTTCTCCAAACCTTGGGTAGTTGTAAGTCGTTTCCCCGGAATGTTTTAAGAATGTTTTCCGCATGCATATAACGGTAATAGGTACATCTCCGGTAACTTGAACTCAAGAGCCCTTCGGTATAGGTAACCCCGTAAAGGAATTTTAGAACAATGGTTACGAGACTAAGGTTAGTCAAAAAAGGGGAAAAATCTTCCGCGCGTTACTCCCTCCATACTTTTATGCCGGCCCGCTCCTTCCTTTTTTTGACTCTTTTTTGTTTCAATCATGTAAGTTACTCAGCATCTGCAACTGTATAATGATTAAGATTATATTGCTCTGCCTTCATTGCTTTTTGGATTTAAGTATTGATCCAATTTTTTCCCTTTGTAGAAATATAGTAAAGAATCTATTTTCAACTATGCTTTCAATGATCATACCATTGTTCATGTTGTCTACCTTACTAATGCAAATCCTCTCTTTACATATTGCTTCAATGATGCAATTAACTATACAGCTAATAGCCAATTTGAAGATAAGCTCCAGCAGATTCTTCAGTGGTTACCTTCCAATACTTCGGTAACAGGATTTTACACTAACTCTTTTGGAGATGGTGCTGATCGTGTGTATGGGGAAGCTCTTTGTCGAGGGGATGTCACCCCAACTATTTGTCAGAATTGTATTAAAATTGCAAGCCAAGAAATCTTGAACGGATGCAGGAGTGAAGAAAAAATTATATGGTATGCATTGTGTCAAATTCATTATTCCTTCCAAAATTTCTCTTCGCTGATGGTTTATACTGGAAAGTACCCCGATAGCAATAGTCTGGAGAAAAATGTTTCAAATCCTTCTCATTTTAATGAAGTTTTAATGTGCTTAATGGATAACCTCTCAAGTGAGGCTTCATTTACTCCATCAAAGCGCATATTTGCAGTCGGGGAAATCAAATTTTCTAAAAGCAATATATACGGCTTGTACAGTGTACCCCGAACATCAAAGAATCTGACTGCCGTAGTTGTATAACCTTCGCCCTGGGAGATCTCAAGGCATGTTGCCAAGGTCGTCAAGGTGGGATTGTCGTTAGCAGAAATTGTAATGTGAGATTTGAACTGTACCGCTTCTACAATGCTACAAGTATATCTTTAACATACCCATCTCCGGCAGGTAAGGACATCCCAAAATCCCCACTTTTTTGTAGGAAAAAAAAAAAAATTTCTGTTCTTAACCAAGTTTTAGAGGGAGATTATCATCTTTAATTAATTATAAGGTAATTAATGAATAATTCGTTTAGGATTACAAGTCCAGGGAGGTAATTGAAATAATTGAAACTTGTTTAATTTCTTTTGGGAAAACAGTCTTATAGCATTTCAATCACAAGATTTATAAATCTTGAGCTATGTCTTGTGCATCTTTTTATAGTACTGTTTACTTCCTCGTGTTTGTTCAATGGAAGTAACTGGTTTTATGTTTTCATCTTTTTTTGCTTCTTTTTGGTGAATTTGAATTGAAAGCAGGAGGAAATGGAGGATTGGGATGGTTGTAGCGGTTACATGCATATCAGCCTTTGTAATAGCTGTACTCATAGTGTCCTATGTTGTCTATATCCGGTGGAAGAAAGGAGGACAAGAAGGTAAAATCATTAATATGTCTTCCGAAATTATTTTACTGCATCAAAGCTGCCAACAACTAAGACTTAAATTGTTCTACAGATGAGGAAAGAAGCCAACATGGTTTGTTTCATGAATTGGCAAGACCAACACCAGTCACACTAGCACATGAAGGAGACTTTATCGGTTCTGAGGAATTAACCTTCTTGCATCTGGCTATTATAGAGGCAGCTACAGATGACTTTTCTGATTCAAATAAGCTTGGAAAAGGTGGGTTTGGCACTGTCTACAAGGTAATGTACTATATTAATTTTTAAGTTCATTATATCTCTGATGTTATTCATAGCATATATAGGCCTGTTTTTTTATCTGACTTTGGATCTTTCAGGGTGTGTTACCAAATGGGAAGGAAGTAGCAGTTAAAAGGTTGTCAAGGAGATCGTGGCAAGGTCTAGATGAGTTCAAGAATGAAATCATAATAATTGCAAAACTTCAACACAGGAACCTTGTAAGATTGCTGGGATGTGCAGTAGAGGAAGAGGAAAAGCTGCTTGTATATGAGTACATGCCTAACAGAAGTCTTGACCTCTTTATCTTTGGTCTGATTTCACTATCCATCTGAGCATGGGTTTATAAGTACTTTGTTAAATGTACTTATTTCCTTGTTTGGTTAAAGTTTCAGATTCTGAGAGACGATCACAACTTGATTGGAAGATGTGCAACAATATTATTGGTGGAATTGCTAGAGGACTTCTTTACCTTCATGAAGATTCTAGGCTTAAAATCATTCACCGCGATCTAAAGCCAAGTAATGTATTGCTTGACGAAGAGATGGTTGCCAAGATTTCAGATTTTGGCATGGCAAGAATATTTTGTGATGAAAATCAGAATGCAGCTAAGACCAGGAGGGTAGTTGGAACATAGTATGCTTCTTATCTACCTATTTCTTTTTTCCAAGTAATCTTCCCATGTTTATAGATGTCTTTCCACCACCTAAACTTACATTTGAAACAGTGGATACATGGCTCCAGAATATGCTATGGAGGGACTATTCTCAGTCAAATCTGATGTTTTCAGTTTTGGGGTTGTTCTGCTTGAGATCATAAGTGGTAAAAGAAATAGCGGCTTCTATCTTACAGGACATGCTCAAACACTCCTTGCATATGTATGTTGACATATATGTTAAAATATTAAAATTCCTTAACGTAAGTTTCATTTAAATATGGAAAATAATACAAGGGAAACCTTGTTAATTTCTTTGGTATCAATCAGGCATGGCAACTGTGGAATGAAGGAAAAGAACTGCAATTTGTAGACCCTGTATTGATGGAATCATGTTCAACGCCAGAGGTGATGAGATGCATACATATTGGGCTATTGTGTGTGCAGGAAGATCCCGCAGTCAGACCCACCATGTCATCTGTTGTGGCTCTTTTGGGCAGTCCATCAATAGGTCTTCCTGAACCAAGGCAGCCTGCATTTTCTGTAGGTAGAATTGTTCTCCCTAATCAGTCTTCAACAACAGATCATTCTGCATGTGACATGACACTTTCTAGTATCTCGCCATGCAAGTGAAGCTAAATAGATTGTAAGTAGTGACATGAATGTCTATCCCATTAGAATAATAAAGAATTTATTACGCTCCATAAGACATATTAGGAAGTTATACTTATAGGGTTTAAAGTGAAAGTTCAAAACTTGGGGTAAACAATGAAAGCTCTGAATCTATTGGAACTAAATTGATAAATATCTATCAAAATTTATGTTACCATTGTTTATGCTGAAAAGTGAAAACAATTTATGACTTCTTTATAATATGAGTAGATCAACTAATATCCCAATAAAATACTAAAGAAACTCCATTTGTTAAAAATTTTAAAATGATAAATTTAACCATACGTAGGAACTCAAGAGCCCTTCGGTATAGGTAACCCCGTAAAGGAATTTTAGAACAATGTTACGAGACTAAGCTTAGTCAAAAAAGGGGAAAATCTCCGCCATACTCTCTCCATACTTTCATGCCGGCCCGCTCCTTCCTTTTTTTGACTCTTTTGTGTTTCAATCATGGAAGTTACTCAGCATCTGCAACTGTATAATGATTAAGATTATATTGCTCTGCCTTCATTGCTTTTTGGATTTAAGTATTGATCAATTTTCCCTTTGTAGAAACATAGTAAAAAATTTATTTCAACTATGCTTTCAATGATCATACATTGTTCATGCTGTCACCCTTACTAATGCAAATCCTCTCTTACGTATTGCTTCAAGATGCATAACTATACAGCTATAGCCAATTTGAAGATAACCTCCAGCAGATTCTTCAGTGGTTACCTTCCAATACTTCGGTAACAGGATTTTACACTAACCTTTTGGAGATGGCGCTGATCGTGTGTATGGGAAGCTTTTGTCGAGGGGATGTCACCCCAACTATTGTCATAATTGTATTAAAATTGCAAGCCAAGAAATCTTGAAGGATGCAGGAGTGAAGAAAAAATTATATGGTATGATTGTGTCAAATTCATTATTCCTTCCAATTTCTCTTCGCTGATGGTTTATACTGGAAGTACCCCGATAGCAATAGTCTGGAGAAAAATGTTTCAAATCCTTCTCATTTTAATGAAGTTTTAATGTATTTAATGGTAACCTCTCAAGTGAGGCTTCATTTACTCCATCAAAGCGTATGTTTGCAGTCGGGAAATCAAGTTTCTAAAAGCATATATACGGGCTTGTACAGTGTACCCCAAACATCAAAGAATCTGACTGCCATAGTTGTATAACCTCCGCCCACTTTTAATTGGATCATAATTCCAATTATTCACTTAATTAATCAAAACTTTAATATTAATGTATTATAATATATTAAAGCTTTTAATATGGTGTAATTTATATGTAATAAGTATAATTGTATTCGTATATTTATTTAATTAGGTTATTCTAAAAATTTAACTTTTTATATTTTAAATTTTTTTATATGTAAAATAATAGAAACCCTCTATTATTCACATTTCACAAATATTTCATTGTAGTCCAGATTCCAAAACAAGTTCTAAAACAGGTTCCAAACAGGTTCCAAAAATCGGTTCCAAACCGGGTACCCCCTACAGGTTCCAAACAGGGTACCCTTTTTACAGGTTCTGGTTCCGGTTCCTCCACACATAAGAACCAGAACCGGAACCGCACAGTATCGGTTCCAAAAAATTGGAACCAGAACCTACCCGCACAGTACCGGTTCCGGATAGGTTCTGGTTCTGGTTCTACCCCTCGGTTTCGGTTCTACCCGCTACCCGTGCTCACCCCTAGAAATACACATACCTGGACGAAATGTCAGGAGGAGAAGGAGGACGACAACGACGATCTGTCTTGGAGAAGATGTTAAAGGCGGAGGAATGCGTTAATGTCGCGGGAGGAAGAAGAAAGTACTGTTTGGGTTTATTTGCAAGATTTTCGACTCTTTGGAGACTTATTTTAATTTTTAAAAGATTACACAATTATTCATTAATCTCAATTAACCCCCTAATCATGTTTAATTAAGCTTAATAAAAAACAAGGCCATTTAGTTAAAATTTACAAACTCTATAGCCTTTTAATTAAATTTTAAGTTCAAATGGTCTTTTAATAAACTCCCCCTTGAAAACCGGGTATAAAAGTTCACTCGGTTTTCTCTCAAAAGTGGTTGGACTGGTGGATTGTTACAGTAAACCGGTGCAACCGCGGATCAAACTGGGTAGATTAATATTTTCAGTTTTCAAGCCTACTCGGCTCTGCTCAGTGGTCAGGTCTCGGTTGAACCGATTAAACTGGCCGAGCTGGGCCGGGTTTTAAAACATTGGTTTAGATAATGGTCAAAGACCTTTTAACCAAATTAATAATTCAACTGTTTACTAACTGCAGTAGCTAATTAACCATAGTAACTAACTATCAGTATACAGTTGGGTAACAATAATCAATACTTAGCTCAACTAATCTGACTTCTAAGTTCTAACTTAATAACTGTCAATCTAAACTAAATGTTACAGCCTACTGAATAGCCTTTCTTAAGCTTCCCATATTTGAGAAAAATCTGCAGTATACCAAATTTATATAATATATATAAAGTATTGAAAAGAATTGACATGATGAATATATACATAGAAATTTAAAATGTCTATCAATCAGGATTAGAAAAATCTTATAAAGGATAGAAATATCATTTGTTCTTCATTAATTATACTACATAATATAAAGATAAGGTGACAGGCCTTCCCTTAAAGAAATTTCAGTGTTTACTAGGACACGGCAACTATTAATGGTAGTATAACTGCTGCATGCACTAAATGGGATTTGTCCCTGTTGGCCATCACATCACTGTCCCATTTAGCCAGCTAAGAGTTATTTTTGTGGTAGAGAATTTTTCCAATCTTTTTAATTTATATATACACTATAACAAGAAGAAGCTAAGAAATGAACTACTGTGTATTAAATGCGGCCTGAAATGTTTGGTAGAACGACTTACACCAACCCAAAGTTTAGAAAGATATCAAAAGGTTTCCAAAAGCACAAATAGGTACATTCTGTTAGGAAAAAAATTAGAATGTCCTTTAACAAATATTAATCTATTTTTTTAATTATTTTTAGATCCTTTAAGTTTATTAATTCCATCAAATACTCTCAAAAAAAAATTTAAAAATTAACAAAAGTACCTTCACCCATCCATACTTATCAGATTCCGACGACCATCGTCGGTAGTAGCCAGAATCTGTCACAACGGTCTATGCCATCATTGAAAATAGCCAATAGTTTACCGATCTGACCTTTTTCGGTCAAATTCACTACAGATATGGCCAGAAAAGGCCAGATCTAGCCGTCGACGGCTGCAACACTCCATCTTTGGCCATCACTCTCATGTCAGATCTGGCATTTTCGGGCTAGATCCATTATAGATCTGGTCGGAAAAAACCAGATCGGTGAATTACTGGCCATTTACGGTAGTGACCGTCAGAATTTGACAAGTATGGGTGAGTGGGAGTGTTTTTGTTAATTTTTAAACTTTTTTCTAGGGGTATTTGATGGAATTAATAAACTTAAGGGGACTAAAAATAATTAAAAAAATAGACTAATATTTCTCAAAGGGCATTCTAATCTTTTCCCTAATGAAAGGTACCTGTTTATCTATTTGAAACCTTTTAGATAACAATCGATGTTTCTCCAAACCTTGGGTAGGTATAAGTCGTTTCCCCGGAATGTTTTAAGAATGTTTTAATCAATCCCGCATGCATATAACGGTAATAGGTACATCTCCGGTAACTTGAACTCAAGAGCCCTTCGGTATAGGTAACCCCGTAAAGGAATTTTAGAACAATGTTTACGAGACTAAGCTTAGTCAAAAAAAGGGGGAAAATCTACCGCCCGATACTCTCTCCATACTTTCATGCCGGCCCGCTCCTTCCTTTTTTTGACTCTTTTGTGTTTCAATCATGGAAGTTACTCAGCATCTGCAACTGTATAATGATTAAGATTATATTGCTCTGCCTTCATTGCTTTTTGGATTTAAGTATTGATCCAATATTTCCCTTTGTAGAAACATAGTAAAAAATTTATTTTCAACTATGCTTTCAATGATCATACCATTGTTCATGCTGTCTACCCTTACTAATGCAAATCCTCTCTTTACGTATTGCTTCAATGATGCAATTAACTATACAGCTGATAGCCAATTTGAAGATAACCTCCAGCAGATTCTTCAGTGGTTACCTTCCAATACTTCGGTAACAGGATTTTACACTAACTCTTTTGGAGATGGCGCTGATCGTGTGTATGGGAAAGCTCTTTGTCGAGGGGATGTCACCCCAACTATTTGTCATAATTGTATTAAAATTGCAAGCCAAGAAATCTTGAAGGGATGCAGGAGTGAAGAAAAAATTATATGGTATGACTTGTGTCAAATTCATTATTCCTTCCAGAATTTCTCTTCGCTGATGGTTTATACTGGGAAGTACCCCGATAGCAATAGTCTGGAGAAAAATGTTTCAAATCCTTCTCATTTTAATGAAGTTTTAATGTATTTAATGGATAACCTCTCAAGTGAGGCTTCATTTACTCCATCAAAGCGTATGTTTGCAGTCGGGGAAATCAAAGTTTCTAAAAGCAATATATACGGGCTTGTACAGTGTACCCCAAACATCAAAGAATCTGACTGCCATAGTTGTATAACCTCCGCCCTGGGAGATCTCAAGGCATGCTGCCAAGGTCGTCAAGGTGGGATTGTCATTAGCAGAAATTGTAATGTGAGATTTGAGCTGTACCGCTTCTACAATGCTACAAGTATGTCTTTAACGTACCCATCTCCGGCAGGTAAGGACATCCCAAAATCCCCCCTTTTTTGTAGAAAAAAAAAAAAAAAATTTCTGTTCTTAACCAAGTTTTAGAGGGAGATTTTCATCTTTAATTAATTATAAGGTAATTAATGAATAATTCGTTTAGGATTTACAAGTCCAGGGACGTAATTGAAATAATTGAAACTTGTTTAATTTCTTATGGGAAAACAGTCTTATAGCTTTTCAATCACAAGATTTATAAATCTTGAGCTGTGTCTTGTGCATCTTTTTATAGTACTGTTTACTTCCTCGTGTTTGTTCACTGGAAGTAACTGGTTTTATGTTTTGATCATTTTTTTT